AGAAGTTAGGAGCCAGTGGTTCAGGATTGTGAGAGGGATGTCCGATTGCTGGTTTAGGCCCGATCCCAGGGATTGGGCCTAAACTAGCAGTCGGACATTCTTTGAGGGGTCCTGGATTGGAGAGGGTGCAGGCTGGGCTGAGGGGGCCCTCCCCCACCAAGTGCACGAATTTTGTGCACTGGGCCTCTAGTATAGTATAATGACTTGAAATCATGAAATGTTTGCCTGGTATGATTTTATTTAAATTTATATTTAATCACTTATACAACCAGGATATGAAAGAACTTTATCTCTGTTTTCTAAAATTAATATCATAAAAATATAATGCAAAATAATTAAATGAATATTATATTTAAAAAATGAAATAAAACTGTGCACAATGAACATACCTACTCTACAGGCCAATTCTATAAACACGCCCCCTCCCCCGCCGACACACACACACACACACACACACACACACACACACACACACATTCTATTAAAAGCTCTTTCTAGTTTTACTCTTGCCAGAACAACTATTCAAGTCCTATTTCCTCGTCTTCACATATCTCTTGTATCAATTCACTGCTAAACTACAACCCAGCTTAATTTGTCCTTTTTGTGTTCTGGAAATGTTTCTCTATATTTTAAATGTTATATTAATATCACATAGATATTGGGATATTTTAAGACAATTAATGTCTATTTTATATTCACTAATACTGCTTTTGCAACTCTTGGGGACATGCTGAATGTTCAATAAGTGTCTTTCTTTTAAAATGTTTCAGAATATGATAAATCACCACTGTGCAATGGCTTTACTTTTTTTCTTTGAAATTAAATCTCAGACACTTTGAAATTAGGAATTTCTCACTATCTTTCTCCCTTAAATTATTGTTGTTGTTGTTATTTTCCTAAAGCTGTTAGTGCATGTGTGCAATGATTTTCATGTATTAGATGCTAGGTGCACAAAAGTTAGGAACCAGACCTACATATTTCTTTTCCAAAAATCATATGCCATCGAGTATTCAATAAACAATTTTAGTAATGAGTTTCACAGATAATCTTTCTCAATTTTTATTTCTCTCTTAAAATATAAGATTCTTGAAAGGAAGGATTTTGACTTAATTCACATATCCCTCAGTATCTACCCTTGCTATACTTTACACACATACTGCTTTAGGAGATGATAGATGAATTCATGCATTTAAACATGAATTGATACATACATTCTGACTTCTATGATAGAGCTAAGGAATATAGATTAAATCAGCAGTAGACAGCAAGTTGTGATCATGTTAGCCTGTAAACAGGAAAACGTCAACCTTTTTTTTTTTTAAGAAAAATTAAACTTCCTTGATTTAGGCAGCAAATAAATACCACGATATATCTTGCCCTAGAAAAATGAGTGAGCCCAGAGCATTTGAAAACTGTTATTATATGGGGAAGTATAAATAAATGGAACTAAAAGTACAACAGAAATAAAATTAGTAAAATTAGGAAGTTATCTTTGTGTGCATCCTTTGACAAATCTAAAAAAGACACACTTAACAGATTTCTAGCTATGTGTACACTTTTTTTGCTGAATGTTTAGAAGAGAAGCAAATGTGGAAAACAACATTCATTACCTTTCCAAAGGATCCCTGACCAAGAACCTTGAGCAACTCAAACTGTGCAGGGTCTGCTTTCTCATATCCTTCCTTAACATGATGTGTAATAGGAATTTCTTTAACTCCTTCATCCTGTAAAAAGAAAATACAAATAATATTCACATCCAGTTGCAACATATTATGATAAGCTTAGAGTCAGGAAACATACCAGAAATAATTTAATACCCAACTCCTTCAATCTAGCATAGACTTTTATGGGCTACTGGTATCCCCAATTCCCTGTTTTCTAACACATAGAGCTTCATCACTATCACCAGCCCCATTATATAATTTCATGTAAATAAAAGCATATACCTGTTCTTGCGCCAGTACTAGGCTGCTTTGAGTACAGTGGTTTTGTAGTATAACTTGATATCTGGTATTGTGTCTCCCCAACTTCATTATTCTTTCTCAAGATTGCTGCAGCTATTTGGGGTCTTTTTCTATTCCATATAAATATTTGGAATATTTGTTCTAGGTCTGTGAAATAAGCTGTTGGTATTTTAATAGGAATTGCATTGAATCTATAGATTGTTTGGTAGTATGGCCATTTTAATGATGTTGATTCTATTAATCCATGTACACGGTATATTCTTCCACTTGCATATATCTTCTTCTATCTCTTTTTTCATTTCCAAATACAAGTCTTTTGCCTCCTTGGTTAAGTTTATTCCTAAGTATCTTAACTATTTTGTTGCAATAGTAAATTGGGTTGTTTGTTTAGTTTCCCTTTCTGAGAGTTCATTATTGGTGTATAAAAATGCCATAAATTTCTGGGACAATAGGGTGGTCAAGGCCTGGGCAGGGTGGTGGGGGAGAGGGCAATGGGGGAAAAAGGGGTCATATGTAATACTTTAAACAATAAAGATTTAATTTTTAAAAAGCATATAAAGTCTATGCTTCAACTTTCCCTTCCAAGTAAGTACAAGGAAAATATAAACAAAGTGTCTTAAGACGCTCACCATAATATGACTCATGAGGTAGATGCAAAGAAAGTCAAGAGATAAATATATTTTTGTAAACTGTGGAGAATGGCAAATAAATGTGAACTTCCAGCTTCTCTTGAATAGTATTTCACTATGCCCTTTTAATTAGTCAGTGATATATAAATATTTAAGTGTAAAACTAGTCACATCATTAAAAAAGAAACTGGCATAGACACGCAATCTGCAAAGCCCAAACAAATCTTTCTAGGCCATAACCCTATTTTTATTAAAATATTATATATAAGTTATATGCCAGATTTCCTAACACTTAGATAAAGCAGAAAGGAAACTACCCAGAGAGTGTTTCTTCTCTTTGATGTAGGACTCTACTCAGCTGTGAAGACTACACTCAAGTGAGCTGCAATGCTAGAGAGACATAGTAGCTAGGATGAAAAAAAAATCCTCAGATGTATTACATATCACAAAACAAGAGCTGAGATATATTATCCAACCTTCTCACTGTATAAAGGAGAAAACTGAGATTTAGAGTTTAAGGTCACATGACTAATTTATCACAATGCTTACATGTCTCAATAGCCTTCCATTACAGGGTTGGGGCAAAAGTAAGTTACAATTTTTCCATATGGAAATTAATACAATAATTAATAAATAATAATACAAGAATAAACTCTGTGTTTCACATACAGATATAAAACTACTTTTGCACAATACTGTACCATGTTTTTAATAGAAGTTATTGGGGTATCAGCATGGATGAACCTGGAGATGCTATGCTAAGTGAAATAAGCCAGGAAGAGAAAGACAAATACCACATGATTTCAGTTATATGTGGAATCTAATGAATAAAATAAACAAAAAAAATAAAAGGAGACTCATAGATACAGAGATCAGACTGACAGCTGTCACAGGGAATGGGGTTGGGGAGCTAGGTGAAATAAGTGAAGAGATTAAGCAAGAAAAAAATATATATATGTAACACATAGACACAGACAACAGTGTGGTGATAGTCATGGGGTGGGGAATAGGTAGAGGTGGGCAAAGGGCAAGCAAATGGGTACAGAAAGAAACTTAGCTTGGGACAATGGGTGCAGATGCAGTGTGCAGATGATGTTTTACTGACTTGTATATTTGAAACATGTATGTTTTTGTGAACAAATGTTATCAATCTGTACTATATTAATTGTGGCCATGATGTCAAGAATATTATTAATAAATTTACCCATTAATTAATGGACAAACCAATAGGGTCTCTGGCCAAATTGAGCAAGAGTTTAGTCTCAAGTAAGCTATGTTTCAAAACAGCTAAAATTACTTGTGTCACATAGGTAGACAGACATTCATTCTCTCAAGAGGAGCATCTAGGCAGAGAAATTTTAGCTTTAAAGTATTAGGAACCAGTCAGAAATGAAAAATGACCTCTAAAATGATGACTGTGGATGTTTTTCATATATAAAAATAGCATTTCACTGGCCCTTTTAAGTAGCTAGGAGAGTGATTTTCCCCTTTTGAATAAGACTTTCTTTTTTTTTAAGTGAAGAATCTATTTTGATCTCACCTTTTATTTCTTCTTTGACCCAACCATTTTTTTTTTTTTAGTAGCATGGTCTATAATCTCCACATATTTGTTTGTTTGTTTTTTTTACTTTCTTTTTGCCATTGATTTCTAATGTTAAATCATTGTGTTTTGAGAACATGCTTTTTATGATTTCAATCTTCTTAAATTTGTTGAGACAAGTTTAGTGACCCAATATATGGTCTAATCTTGAGAGTGTTCCATGTGCACCAGAGAAGAATGTATAATCTGATGTTCTGAGATGAAAGGCTCTGTAAATGTCAATTATGTCCACTTGGACCAATGTGTCATTTAAATCCAATATTTCTTTATTGATTTTCTGTTTGGGTGGTCTATCTAGAGCTGTCAATGGGGTATGTAGATCCCCAATTATGACTGCGTTTTTGTCTGATTATCCCTTTAGTTCTGTGAGTAGTTGCTTTATACGTATAGATGCTCCATGATTAGATACATATATATTAAGAAGTGATATGTCTTCTTAATGTATTTTCATCTTTATCATTACAAAATATCATCTTTGTTTCTTGTTACTTTTGTTATTTTGAAATCTGTTTTATGAGATATGAGTATGGTTGCACCTGCTTTCCTGTGGATGCCATTTGCTTGTAGAATCATTTTCTACCCTTTGACTTTAAGACTAACTTAGTTTTTTGTTTGTTTTTCACCTTAGATGTGTTTCCCAAAGGCAGCATATGGTTCACTTTTGTTTTTTTATCCAATCTGTTACTCTGTGCCATTTTTTTTAAAAAAAAAAATATTTTATTGATTTTTTACAGAGAGGAAGGTAGAGGGATAGAGAGTTAGAAACATCGATGAGAGAGAAACATCAATCAGCTGCCTCCTGCACATCTCCCACTGGGGATGTGCCCGCAACCCAGGTACATGCCCTTGACCGGAATCGAACATGGGACCCTTCAGTCCGCAGGCCGACGCTCTATCCACTGAGCCAAACCGGTTTCGGCTACTCTGTGCCATTTTATTGGTGAACTTAGTCCATTTACATTTAGGGTAATTATTCACGTACTAGAGACTCGGTGCATGAAATTCTTGCACTCAGGGTGGGGTTACCTCAGCCAGGCCTGCACCCTCTCGCAGTCCCAGAGCCCTCGGGGGATGTCTGACTGACAGCTTAGGCCCGCTCCCCATGGGACATCCTTAGCGCTCCCACCACCGCCACTGCACTTGCCAGGCTTCTGGCTGAGCAGCACTCCCCCTGTAGGAGCTCACTGACTACTAGGGGGACATGAGAAATACATGTCACAAATGCCTTCTAAAATTATAAGCATAGGACTTAAAATAATAAGAAATCAGTTTTGTAAGGTACATTTTCAGGTAAATGTAACATTTACATATCTGGGTAATATAGATATAAATCAATTTAGAGACAACATATTGTTGTCTTTGTGCTAATGGAATCAATCAAAAATCTAATAGTTAAATGAATCTTCTTTTGAAATTCTTAAAATATTGGTAGCATTAAAAATATGTATTTTATTTCTAGGCATAACCACCATTTCATACAAACTTTAAAAGTAAATGTAAGTGCACAACAAACTAACAAAATAGAATACATCTATTCTTTTTTTAATAACATAAGTAATTAACTCGTACCAGTCATCTACTAAAGAAAAATCTTAATGTATTTTTTCGAACATAGACATTGTTGGGAGCAATAAAGGACCAAGTGGTAAAATATGATATCAGATATCTTTCATTAGTGACCTATTACTTAGTACTTCCCAAATTGAAGGCTATCTTGAGAAGTGGAATGATTCCTCATAACAACTCTTTAATATATTAAATTATATTAATAATAATTCAGCCTTGCTAATTGTGTGATAGATATACATGTAATTTTGGAAGCATTTTATTTAATTTTTCTTGTTTTAACTGAAGGAAAAAGAACAAATGACCATGAAAGTCTAAAGCTACAAAAATTGAGATGGAGGAAACTGGTTGTCTAAATTAGTCAATTGCAAAACATTAGGCCTCATATGCAATAACTGAAGTTCAAATTTAAAAAACACTCTTTAAAGAATTTATACATCATAAAGCAATTTCTATAATCCTCTATTATTTAAAACAAAGACAACCACAAAAACACATAGCTTCCAGAATTACATTTGAATAAGCAACCACAATCAAAGCAATCCTATATATGAAAACATGAGACAAAGGAATTATAAAATTATATGGTTAGTGTTTCTTAGAACCCATTTCATTTAACTGTCACAAGTACCTGACACAGTGAAAGTATTGTATTATTTTAATTTTTCAATTACAGTTTATATTCAATATTATTTATAAGTTTCAGGTGTACAGGTAGTGGATAGACAATCATATACTTTAAAAAGTAGCCCCCCTAATATTTCAAGTGTCTACCTTAAATGTACATAGTCATTATAATATTATTGACTATATTTCCTATGCTATACTTTACATGACTGTGACTATTTTGCAACTACCAATTTGTACTTCTTAACCCTTTCATATTTTTACCCAGCCCCCAACTCCTCACTTTGGCCACCATCAGTCTAATCTCCGTCTCTATTACTCAGTTTCTATTTTTTTCATTTATTTGCTCTTCAGATTCCAGTCATAAGTGAAATCATATGGTTGTTTCTTACTCTTTCTAACTTATTTCACTTGGTATAATAATCTCTAGGTCCATCCATGCTGTCCCAAATGGTAAGATCTCATTATTTTTTATGCCTGAGTATTATTCCATTGTATATATCTAGCACAGCTTTTATGGAAAACAGTATGGATGCTTATCAGAAAATTAAAAATGGAACTGCCTTATGACCCAGGGATTTCACTTTTGGGTATATACCGGAACCAAAACACTAATTCAAAAGTACAGCGAAAGAAGAATGTTGTAAGTTTAGATAACTAAGGCCACAAACTAAATCAAAACTTGACACCCCTTTTTAGCAACTGAAGGTGATTGCCTAATGTAAATCATATTAGCATCTAGCATGAATTTTAGTTTTACAATTAAAATTGTACTTCCTGATTCATATTTTATTAAAATTAGACAGGCAAATATTTAACAATAACCCTATGATTATGTATATGTGTTCATGTTGGTTACACTTGTATATATATATACTAGAGGCCTGGTGCACAAAAATTTGTGCACTCAGGGGGGAGGGGGGTCCCTCAGCCCAGCCTGTGCCCTCTCGCAGTCTGGGACCCCTCAGGAGATAACGCTGCTGGCTTAGGC